CCTTAAAAGGGAAAACTCTGAGTTATCTTATTTGCTTAACTGCCTTCTCGGTGGAGATCGCTATATTACTAATCTGAAGTATGCAACCTCGTCCCAGCGCGCTCTAGCTATGCCAGGCTAACCAGTCCTGTGCCATTCCACACTGTCTCTCCAGCATACTGAACTGCTCAATTCCCCCCTCTCCCCTTCTTACTAGTCATTGAATTGACAAACGAGGAGAAAAAAACAAAGGCCCGGTAGTAACAATGGGAGGCTATGTCTGTGCTCCAAGCACTGCGGTGACACTGTTGCAGCTGCATCGCTGTAGTGTAGACCTTTATTACGGCGATGGACGGGGTCTTTCCAGAACTGTCCTAAACCCACCCCCTCAAGAGGCAGTAGCTAGGCCAGCAGAAGAATTCTGAGCCAATCGGAGGGTCTAATCCTGACCACACTGCACAGGGTGTGAAATTTTGTCACAGTCCTGAACAATGTAGCTAGGTCAGTCTAAATTTTAGGTGGAGACCAGGCCTGAGGCCCTGATCTTGTGTTTTCAGCCCCCCAAGGCTGTGTAGAGTCTTGTTGAGGGGGGCTCTGTGTGGATACAGGGTCCATCCACCTGGTCCACCTGCAGGATTGGGACAGCAGTGGCAATACAAGACTTGAGAGCTGCTGAAAGAGGTATACCTGGGCACCAAGAGAACTCCAGGATAAGGGGGTGGGAAATAGTAGCAGGAGCACAAGATGCAGCTAACTTTTCAGGAGACTTTGTGTACTGTGGAGATGAATGGGAGGGTCCACTGAGTCCTGGCTGAAGGCCTGAGAGTTCCTTCTTTTCTCCTATGAAGTAGCCCAGCCAGAAGGCCACGTCTCACCTGGCTAACACTTCTCTGCAGCTTGTCAATGTCATAGGTACCATGTGGCTGAGCAGGGTCATGCAAAACTTCTAGAAACCCTCTCCTATTTTTGTGCTAAAAATGCTGATTTGGGGGCAAGATCAAGAAGGGTGATGATGATTTTTGGCAGTGAAAATACCGTCATTCAAAATTAGCCCCATTTCCAGAAGAAAACAATCCCCTTTTTGTAAAAGTATTTTGCAAAAATAGGGTCAGATTTCTAAAGAAATGTGAAAATGATCCTGCTCTGAGACTCACTGTGACTATTTCCCTCCCCTTGAGCAGTACATGACACTCCTTTCCCTGGCTAGTGACAGATGCAGTTTTAAAAACCACCGCCGAGTGTAGCCACTGTGGTCTGCAACCAAAATGAATGTGCCCACAGCTTAGGATTGCTCTCAACTCCCATTCAACTTTTAAATGATCCTTGCAGTAACTGCTCAGTGAGGGTGAAGCCAGAGCAAGGTCTGGGCTGCTTAAATCCCACTCACTCCACATCTTGACGGGCCCTCTGTCCATGGGTCAGTTTTGCTCCGAGGCTCTGATCTTGCAATCAGCTCTGCATAGGGAGAGAACTTTGAACCCACATGGCCGCAACTGCAGGATCAAGGTCTTACAGAGGCTGGTGCTGAAGCACTGCTTTGAATATTACGGAGCTGAGATTTGGATACAGCCCCCTCGTATCAATCCGGCAGCTGCAGCGTGCCTACAAAGTACAATCGGCATTCAGAACCTTTTTACAAGTTAACTAGTTCTTCTCAGACTTACACTCGGACAAAAACAAGTCAAATGTATTGGCTCTGCTCAGTAAAACCAACCCAGGGCAGCTGCCATCTGTGCTGCTGGGAAGTAACGTTGCCATGGGAAACGATCAAAGCTTCTAGTTTGCAGACTTCCTGTGTGAACTTGGGCACGTCACATAGCCTCTCTGGGTCTCGGTTTCCCATCTATAAAATTGGGGATAACGGCACTGTCTACCTTACCGGGGTGTTGTAGGGATTCTGGGGAGCTCATATACTAGGGTAATGGGGCCATCATTGCCAGACCTGTGCCTCAGAAATATACCCCTTGTTGCAGCTAACACAGCAGAGGCCTTAAAATAGAGCTGGCTGTAGTCTAAAGGCACAAGATGACATAGGACACCTATACGCTTTTTGGGAAGAGGTTTGGTAGAGAGAATAGGAGGCAGAGGGCACTTGGTGAATGTTAATTAAGAGGCTTTTCCAAGCACTAGGGACAGCAGAAGAGAAGGGGTGATGTCAGGACTAGGAGACGAAGTGCGAAAGGGGAGACCTTGGGCCGAGCAGAGGAAGCAGGAGGTATAGGAGAGGTAGGCAATGGGTATGGGGGAATTTCTAGTGTGGAGATGCTCCACATGTTCTGAGTTGTAATATATCACCCTGCAGCTCCAGATGCAACACAGGCCTCTGAATTCCCCGTGCGAGAGAAAACAAGATTAAATATTTTAAAACTGATGAGTGTTGGAGGGGGCGGTGGGTTATTAGTCATGTAGCCTGGTTGCTGGGGCCCAGCCAACATCTTACAGAAACCATATAAAATTCCCACCCTGGGCCTTTAAACACTAACAAGACAGGCTAGCACGACCAGAGAGAACCATAAAGCTGAAAGCAGGTGGTTTAAGGGCTGATCCTGCAGACCCTTCCTAGACTAGTTCTCTTTGCAGAATTGGGCCATAACTATGGAAGGGTAGGAGAGTGGGTGGGAAACAGACTGCTTCAAAATACTTCACTTGCTCCTCGAAGAGCAGGGATGCTCTTGCCAAACACAAAATCATTAACAGTTAGCAACGCCACATCAGCAGTTGTCACAAGAATAATGCAGTTTGCATAACCATGAGGTAAGGCACTGGGGGATATCGTGACTAAATTTCCAGGAACAAATTAAAAATTGGCTTTCCAAAATGTGTGGGCTTACATAGCAGAATGAAATAGGGTTCTTCTGTCTCCAACTATTGTGGGCGTGTTCTGTGCCTTTGATTAATACCTCTAATTCTCCCTTGAACTGAAAGAAGAAATTTTGGAGAGCTTTGTAGTTTATGGTTCAGTTTTAAGGTAAGATGCACATTTTTAACTGTGAGGGTAATTAACCATTGAACGGACCAGACAGGAATGGAGCAAATTCTCCATCACTTGGGGCTTGGATGTCTTCCTGAAACATTTTAATTGATTTCCAAATGAGATACCATTAACTCTGACTCGAATGGAGACTGGGAATGGCTGAGTCATTACACTACTTGAATCTTTTTCCGTATGAGAACTATCCTTACACCTCTTGTCAACTGTCCGTAATTGACCATCTTGATTATCACTACAAAAGTTTTTTTCCTACTGATAAGATTATCTTAATTAATTAGCCTCTTAGAGTTGATATGGCATCTTCTCTGTGTGTGTGTTTATATATATATATACACACACACACACACACACTCACAAAATCTTCTTCTATGTTCCATTCTATGCATCCAATGAAGTGGGCTGTTGCCCATGAAAGGTTATGCTCAAATAAATGTGTTAGTCTCTAAGGTGCCACAAGTACTCCTGTTCTTTTTGCGGATACAGACTAACACGGCTGATACTCTGAAACCTGAAACATATGGTTCCTCCACAAATTGTTGGGCTTGATCTAGGAATCCCTGGGTGAAACCTGGGGCCTGTTTTTATGCAGGAAGTCAGATTAGGTGTTCATAATGGTCCCTTCTGGCTAGAGCTGTGCAAATAACTGATTTTTTTTTTTATGGTTCACTGGGTGAACTGAAAGAAAAAAAAAAAAGTTTCAGGTTGACCCAAAACGAATCTTCAAATTCGGCAGTGACTCTGAAAAAGTTGAAAAAAATCTGTTTCGGGTCGAACAATATTTTGTTCAACCTGAAACAATGTTTAATTTTTATTTTTTTAGTTTAACTGGTTTAACGTATGCAAAATTTGACACAGGCAATTTTGAATAAAAATAAAAACATTTCATTTTGAAAATGTCAGAACACGATGTTTTGATTTTTAATGTTTGTTTTTTTTTAATTCAACTAAATTGACACCATTTCAGGAACTGTTTCAGTTGGCAAAAAAATGTTGTCTGGAAAATTTTGTTCAGCTCTACTTCTGACCATAAATCTCTGCATTTACATGGGAGGAAAAGCAAAAGGGGGAATGTTTCATATGTGTTTAAAATCATTAATGCATGCTCCACATACTTCATTTAATCTAGATATTTAATTTTACCAACATCAATGTTATAGAAAATCTGTGATGCAGTTAGAGGCCACTTATTAGAGTGGTTGGAGGGAAGTAATTAAATCTTGTTTAAAATAAGTTGCATATCCGGGATCGATCAGCTTTCTTTTATCAGTACTCCAAAAACAGCACTTAAGAAAACTGGTGGTTGGACAGCCTCTGATAAAAGGTGACCTGCAAGTCCCTCATAAATAGTCCTTCCTCCCTATGAGGGATCATAGAAGCCGTTCTATTCACTTTTATAACTGGATAAAGAGAAGGCCGAGTAAGTGACTTTCCCAAAGAAACCCACATAATCAATGGCAGTCTTGGGTATAGAAACTCAAAGGCCTGGCATCCTAGCCTCTGCTGCAACCATTAGGCAACACTGCCCTTAAATCAGACACTTGAAATCTGCTTGAGTAACTTCCCCAGCTTTAGGACCTGCTCCTGTTCCACAAGTCTACACGAACACTCTCAGGGGGCTCAGTCGTGAGCTGAGTTATACACCGGTGCAGGAGAGGAAGGGGTGGGAGGTACCCCCACAACTAGTCTTGTGGGGAGAGGAAGGAAAGCGGCTGCTGCAGGGGTGCTACCGCCCCTCCTACACAGCTGGGGGAGAAGCGTGTGCCTGCATCCCAGCCAGAGCAGCCATGGCAGGAGCAGTAAGTGCAGGGTTATCAGTGTCAGAGTTTGATTCCTGGCCTGCTCCTGGGGCAGTGCATAATTGTGCCCCCCCTTCCTTGGGACTTGTCCATGATCTAGCCCATAGACTAGGCTGGATACAGTCTGCACAACCCTCATTGGCTGTGACAGAACTTATCCGAGCAAAGACTTAATACTTCCTCCCAATGCCTGCTCTTCCTTCTCGTTACCAACAAACTGCTCTGAAGCGGAGTGTGCTTAAAAAGGAGTTTTATTGCCAAATCTCAAAGCTCTTTACACGCAGAAGGCAGCATTGCCTTTCCAAGAGCCATGACAGATTTTCAGATACCATCATTCACTGCCACTCACTAGTGCATTCACTTCCTTCCTGTCGGAACCATACAGCTCTGGCAGTCCGCGTACAAATCTGAAATTGAGTCACGTTCCATCTCGACATGCCCACAGCCTCTTCAGACGTGAGAAAGCAAGCTTAGTGCAGCTGGGGAGCTTGAGTGAAGAAAAGCTAGGTGGTAGGTAAAATGAAGACTGGAACTATCCTGCTAGATCAGCATAATGGGTCTTCTACTCCAGAACCCGGCTGTGACAATGGCTAGTACTTGCTGTTTAAGAGGAAAGTGCAAGAAACCCAGAAGACAGCTATGGAATGACCTGCCGTTCCCATTAGGCAGAGATTGGCTTACACCCTGAACAAGAATAACATGTGCGAAAACTTCAGAATTAAACGTTCTAAACAAACCATGAAGCTTTATAAAAGCCCAGTCGACCGAAAATTCTAGGTGGACTAGTCACTGTAGAAAGAAACCGCTAAACCTATACAAAAGGCTATTTTTCCTTAATTAACGCAACATTTTCAGCCACGGAGACACTGGGTGTTAAAAAGAGAGTTCACTTAATTTATAGTTATTTACAAGACATAGTACATAAAGGTAAGTGACGTTAGTGCGTCCAGTATTTAGCTCTGGCTTGTAAAAAGGGTTAGCTCTCCCATCTCCTAACAGGTTCAGGTGTCTTCTGTTAAGAGTCCTATTGGGGGTTCAGTAAAATGTCAGACATTAGAATATTCAGTATGATTATAAAAATACAGTAAATATAAGCACATCCTGTAGATTCTTGCTGCAATAGATAGGGGTATCTGGGACTCTTCGTCAGCACTGCAGTAGGTAGATATTTAATAGGTGGCACATGGTGAGGACAAAATACCTGTAAGAGCGAAAGCATCCATGTATATCAGAGATGAGTCTAAGCTGGATCCGGACCTTCCCCAATGTTCAAGGGTATTCAGATCCAGGGGTGTGGTTTGGCCCTAATAGGGATACGGGACAGCTTCAGCACTGGGATTTGAATCTGCATCCAAATGTTGACCATAGCCAGATCATGATTCTGGTCTGGGTGCATCCCTATTACATATACATCTCCATTAGTCATCCATTTTATTTTTTGTTATACAATTCTATCTCACAAATGCCTCCTTCTCCCTGAAGGCTGATGTCCCAAGACATTCTGTACACACCAGGTTTGTACAGCTCATGTTCACATCACACAGTGTTCGGTAAACAAAAGTGCACATGCAGAAAAACACGTATTAGAAGCTGGTAGGCACTGAATAGACTAGGTCTGTATTGTTAGCCCTTGGCTTATAAGTACATCTCCTAAGAAAACAAGATACTTCCGTTCACATTGACTCTACAGCAGTAAATTATGCAGAACCAGAGTTCATCCTTGGCCTGCATCAAGGGGACTATGCTCTGGACTGCATATATTTGGAAATCCGGTGTCTAAACGCAGGGCTGTTTTGGCACCTGAAACTCAAGCAAATTCTACTATGCAGAAACTGCCTGGGTGATGGAATAATGAGAGACTTTCAATACAACTCCTATGACTGGCTTGAGAATGAGGCAGCTTAAAACAAGGCTGTTTTAATCACTCGATTTGGAAGTGTCTGGTTGAGTGACTACCTAGCTCTTATCTGGGATGTTCCCATTTTTCAGTTCCTGAAATGCTTTAGGTCAGGGCTGGCTGGACATGGTAAGGAGCACTCATCAGTTTTTCCCCTCCCTCCTTCCTAATTCAGCTGTAGTTTGAGTTTTACTTTGCTGCTGCTCTGGTAGATGTTTGCAGCATGGGGTACCAGGGAGCCTCAGTGAGCTACCGGAGAAGGAACCTGAGATAAAGATGTATAGCATGCTCCTGGCTTTGTACTTGGCAGGGGCAGATGGCACAAGCTACTGGGTAGTGTAGATACTTTAGCAATGAGAACTGCCAAGTTGATGCTATGCATCCGAAAAAGTGAGGTTTTTACTCACGAAAGCTTATGCCCAAATAAATCTGTTAGTCTTTAAGGTGCCACCAGACTCCTTGTTGTTTTTGCCAAGTTGAACTCTCTCTTCTGGCTCAGAAATTCTTCCTATTCTGCTGGGCCTTAGCTATTCAACATCCACCTACATTCCCCAGAGCTCCATAAGATCAACTGAGAAAGATCCAATCCTTCGTCCACTGCACAGGCCTAGATAAAGCCAAAGAGGAGGTGGTGGCCCTTTGAATCCCTGGGTAGTTGATGTGGTGCCATTGAGAATGACTATTTTAGGGCAAAACTCTGAAAAAAGGATAGAAGGGATGCCCCTGCGCCCTGTGATGACCTGATTTGGTGGGTAAATGAGCATCGCTGAACTTGGACTGGCAGGTAGATGACCCAGTTCACATCCACACGTGTTGTCTGAGGGTGAAAATGGTGCTTACACTTTTAATCTTTGTCGTGCAAGACACAGTTTTGTAATCATTTTGTCACCATGACTATTCCTATTTCATCACATTTCTCTCATGAGATGCAACTTCCTTTAACAGGAGGACCAAGAATCGGGGCATTTTGCCATTGCCTTCCATGGGAACCAGACCGGGCCCTTATTTAGTAATGCCTTCTTCGTTTCAGTGTACTGAGTTCAGCCACCTACCCACCAAGAATTAAACTGCAAAATGCATTTCCCTGTTAAAATGATATGATTAGATGTTCCATCAAAACCAGTTGCCATGACGGACATGTCATCAGTCAACCTCCCAGGATAAGGCTGCTCGACACACAGCAAGGGGAGAGTCTACTTTCAGAACAACCAGCCAACCGCTCCCATAAGCCTCCAAACAGCTGACTGACTATTTACTTCTACAAATACAGGAGACTCTAATTACCAGGTCAATGTATTGCTTAAAAATGAACATTTTGGGCTGCTTCGGCCAGGAGCAGGTATTTCAAACATAGCAGCACTGTCTAGGAGAATGAGCACAGAGTTAGGGGTAGGATTGCTAAATTCTATCCCTGGCTCTGAAATGAACTCCTTCTGTGGGGAAATCACTTCACATCCCTGCCTGTTTCCCCACAGGAAAAATAATACTTGCTTGGCAATGGTAGTTTGAGGCTTAATGAATACTTGTACAGTGCTTAGAACACGGAAGGATTGTTGCGTTTGAGTCTGGTCTAGAGCTGAAAACAATTACTTACCATCACCAGTTTGCCAGTTTTGTGCAGATTTCTAAGTCAATTTTTGAACTGCCGATGTGTTTAATGAGTATCTATGGAAACTGCTAACCATTTGTTCCAGAATATGATTGGGCCAGGTAGTCAAAATCTGTCAGTAAGTGAACAAACTGAGCAAAATTTATGGACGTTTGCGGCCAGATTCCCAGTGGAATGATTTCATTGGCAAAACTCTCTGGGTGCTAGTGCAAACGGGGTAATTCCATGTCTTACGTGCCAATTTATACATGCACACATGAATATTCTGCTGGAATATCCATGCCCTCATTTGAAAAACTGACCTGTAGTCTGATTACCAGTGTTGTGGTGGTGGGTTTGTGGGTTTTTTTTTTGTTTTGTTTTTTTTAGGGCCTAATCCAAAGCCCATTGGTGGTTTTCCGCTGACGTCAATGAGCTTTGGATCAAGACCTTAAAGAATATTCACATTTTTGCAACTGATGTTCAATGTCCTCTAACTTCCTATTGTGATAAGGGATGGGAATATGGCATAAAAACATAACAAAAAGAAAATTATAACTGAAATGCCCTGCTCTGAATGCATCGTGTGTGCATAGCAAAACATAACCTTATTTAACACTGGCCAAGCAATGGTATAAGTCGTAAATAGCAAATTTTTAGCTTGATTGTAAGAAAGAAGTGTCTTCTTAAGTACATCTCAGGGAGCACTTCTCCTATAAAGAGTTACTAGATCCTTCGGCTTTTCTTTCTGTTTCTCTGTCGGTTCCTTATTCAGTTCTCCTAACCCTTTAATTTCTTGTAGGACTTGTGTTGCTTGCCGAAGCTGTTCTACTGCCTCATTGAGTAATGTCTCTGCGTTTACTGGGGGTCCATTTCCCTCCTGTGCTTGTTCTAACTCTTGGCATAAAACCTTTTGCAGAAGTTTTTCTGTCTTTTCCCTTTCGCAAGCCACTTTCTCCTCCATTTTAGCCAGGCAGGATTGGGGCTCCTTGTGGAAGCCTGGACCCAGAAGTTCTTTTTCTGCATTTTTTGATTCATTCAGCAGATCTCCTAGAGATGCACAGCGAGCTCTGAAAGGCGAGGAATTTGCTATGGTGTGTGGTAAAAGTGTTTTCTCTTCACTAGGAACCTCTGTACTTTCCTGCTTTGCTTCGGTATCTAAGGAAGTCTTTATTTGTTCCTGTATTGTTTGCGGCTTCTCTTTCTCAGCAGCAACTCTCTCACTTCCTTCTTCACGCTCTACTTTTTGGGGAGTGGATTCTGTCACTTCCCTGTCTTCCATTCCATCCCTGGGGGAGGTGGAATCATGGGGCTCCTTGCCTTCTGAACTCTTCGCCTCTAAACTGCTCGGGGTGGCATCCATACTTGCTGTCAATTTTTCTGATAAAATTTTAGGAGGAAGTGGAGGTTTCACAGTAGCCGTTGTGACCACCTCTGTGAGGTTTTCTTTACTGCCACCTTTGGATGGTTCCAAACCTTCTGTGCTTTGAGGGTGAGGGGCTGGTTCATCCCAACTGACCCCTTTCAGCTTGTCCGATAAGATTTTAGGAGGAGGAATCGGAGGTTTTGCCGTGCTGCTGTCGCTGACCTCCATGAGATTCTCTTCATTGTCCCCTGCTGAGGCTTTGGGTTCTTCACCCTCTTCACCTTGACTGACTGAACCCACATCCTTGTCGTTTAGATCATCCTCTGATGGTGTACTCTCCTTCAACTTCTTAGCTGGAGGCAACAGAGGCTTTTTAAGCTCTTGATCAGCAACGCTGTTATCCGCACTCGGCTTCTCTGACATGACACTGGGCTTTGTAGGAGGCATAGGTGGCTTTGGAGTTTCCTTTGGAGGAGGGACGTTCTCATTATCGCTCACAGTCAAGGTGAAGTCTGGGGGGCCATTATCTACCATATCCAGATCCAGCCTCAAGATTCCATCCGATGTAGACTTGGCAACCTGAGAAATGTAATACGAGAGAGTTTTATTTAGACTGTGTCCTGTTATCAATCCCCTGAACTATCCTGTCCTCAAAACCAGTCTTAACAAACCGTTTAAGTCAAAGAAGTGAATGTGGGGTGACTGAGGGCTGGTCTACACTCCTGCACTACATCAGCGCAGCTGTGCTGCTGTAGCGTGTCGGGTGAAGACGCGCTATGCTGACGGGAGAGGGCTCTCCCATCGGTATATTTACTCCATCTCCGTGAGAGACAGAAGCTGTGTCGGCAGGAGAGCGTCTCCCGCTGGCACAGCGTGGTGTGGATACCGTGTTAATGTCAATGTCACTTACGTTGCACGGGGGGAGATGGCTTTTTCACACCCGAGCGATGAAACTTACATCAGGTTAAGTGGCAGTGTAGACAACCCCTGAGTCCAGCATCTGACTACAAATCTTTTGTCCCACAAGGAGGACAGTACAAACTAACCCGTACACCTCAGCACAGCTTACATGTGTGAGACTGAGTGATGCCTCTGTTTCTGCTCCCCTTTACGCCCCCGCTTCTTACTCCATGTAACACCCTGTATGACATTACACCAGCACCCGCTTCAGTGCATGCATACTTGCCGTTGAGTTATTTTGTCTCCAGTAGTGGAGTGACAGTCAGGAGAGCATCAACGCCAATAACCACAAGAGGTCAAGAATTGGTCCAAAGCGGCTGTACACTCAGCCTATCAAAAATCCTTTTTCCTTTCTCAGTTATAAACACTGAGCTATGCAGTTCTGATGTGGACAATTTCCGAGTTACAAATATTTGCATGGACAGGTGCACTGTCTGAACTGATAAATGTAAAGAATTTCCCGGAGAGACAAAGTGGGTGAGGTGATATCTTTTATCGGACCAACTTCTGGTTGGGGGGGGGGG